GACAGTACAGTAGCAAGACTAATTAATTTTGTTTATGGCACGCCATAATGACCAGTTTCGTTCAGTAGGTTGAAGTGGTAGTTGCCAACGGGTGTGCGGCGAACCGTGGAAATCCTTACATAAGCCTTGTCGCCGGTTCAATTCGATTGTTGCTCTTATTTCAAAAGGAGGATGGCAATGCAAGTTTTAATCGCGCACTGTCTTTCGGATGAGACATTTAAATGTTGTGCCTTGTGTGCATGCAACAGGGCCTATGTACACACCAAAGCATGCAATGTCACTCTTCGGAAAAGAGCAGGAAATTATCTCCCAGAATATTGCCCAGAAGAACCCTACTGAAATTAAATTTTCAGACCATCGAGGGTTGTCCTTGGTAAGTTTATACATCAGAAAAAAAACAAATCAAATCCAAAAAGGGGTTGGTGGTCAGCACTACAGTAAAAAGCAGTTATTCTGCTAACTTCAATTTGAAATGTACAATTAGTAACTAATCAATCAACTTGGGGGCTGATTTAAAATGTCATTGTCATGTAATTAGTGACCAGTTTGTGACACAGTTGACATACCAACTGCAAATGTGTGCAGTACAGCTAACCACACTTCCAGCACTTTGTTGTACGCAGCCTAAGCAAAGTTCCTGTCTTCAATTTAACCATTCATTGTGTGCTCATTCATGCATGCTAACACGCTGCAGGCGTATTAGATTCTTCAACCTGTGTTTTTAAATTGACTATTCACTGAGAGAATTACGACAAAACCCACGTCAATAACACAAACAATAGCAGGTTTTGCTCACGTTTACTTTTTTCATTAGATTCATCATGGCTAATGACAGTACATCAGAAGAAGACATTTAAACTGTTACCTGCTTTCTTGAAATTTTAGGGCAAGTAAAAAAAAAGTATTTCTCCTCCTAATGTTTTGAAAAAAGGAGATTGCTTGTTTTTTTTTTACTTTCGAGATGGCAAATCCAAGATGGTCGATGGCAAACAGCCTCTACTTTCTCACTTTTACCAAGTAGACACATTGAAAGCAAATATAAGAAGCACAAGACATGATTCACACCATACGTATCCCTAATTACGAATGAACGAGGGAGGAATTTTACTGATGTTAGCCAGATTTTCGTACATTTCATAAAATATAGGAAATAAAAAAAAAAAATTGGTGACGTACTGTAGAGAAAATGGACGAGCGAGCGATATTTTTTGGCCTGGGGTGTGTGAAAATTAAGAATGTGCAGACTGGGGGAAGGGGGGATGAGGAAATCAAATCCAGCTATTCCAATGAAAACTTAATGGTCATTTTTAGTATTTTAACGCACTTGGTAAAATTAAATTTTCATACTGTATGCTCATCCTTAACATTACTGTACAGTACATCACAGTACTATTAGTCCTACATATTCACCATCACATTTCACAACAATACCATATAATCAGGCTCTCCATGGTCACATTTTTGATACAGTAATGCAGTTATACAGTGCTGTAGATGCCAACCATCACATCTCACAGTATTTCTTCGTAAAGTCTATCATTAATACAGTACTGTATTTATTGATATTATTTTAATATTAATTTACCTTTTAAAGACTTAGTCGGTTTTTATTCATTTCTTTTTATTCTATGATTTAATTAATCCCATCTGCTTGAAGAATTTCATTCATGCATTCAAAAATACTAAAATATGGAACGATATTGAAACTGCAGACTTAGTAAGAGTGATGTAGGGCATGGAGGCAGAGCATGAATATCAACGTTGACTAATAAAATAAGCAAATTGATGAGAAAGGATTAAAAATTGAATACAATTATCAACAACACTGATGATTCCCGAGTTAAATGAAATCTACGGAGACACATTAAAATTCAAGCATGCATATCACTACAGAAATTTATTTCTAGATTTGACGACAATGATTAATATCCTAACACGTTATAATTGCATTCCGAAATGCATTTAGCAATCTCACATGCTACCTAGACCTAGTTCTTTAAGTCGTGCGAGATACTTCCTACGGCGTTTTTTTTTCTTGCACTGCAAAGTTTTCTTTAGATTTACAATAAATATAGCGATTGGTGTTACACATTGAATGCTGAAAATAAACTGCGAGCGGAAGTGATTCAACGGTGTCACTTATGTTTGTGATTCAGGCAGTGAAACTTAATGATTTGCTTGTGTGTCAAAATGCAAACCAGTTTCTCTAAACACAAATGTAAACACACATTCATCAAAACACTCTCACTCACTAGCCTTCTTGCTAGCTTTGGTTTATAAATTTTGCACTAAAGAAAAAACAGTGATAATGTAAAATTTAATGCGTTTTATTTCCTTACATAGAAACTACTTAGAAATTTTGGATGGAATATAAACAACAGTACAGTATGTGCAAGTATTACAGTAAATCGCAGCCATGTCTGATAATTATACGTTGGCTGCTATTAAATCTTACCAATCCTCTAGCGTAGCCTGCTCTAGCTCATTGTAAAAATGTAGGCCTACTATACATTAGCAGTTAGATGGGTGAAGGAAAGTGGTGATTATGTCCCTTGCACATAATGAGGCTTAATCTAGGAATTGATGGTTTATTTTTTATAAAATTCATAAAATTGGAAGACCTAAACCTAGGATATTGGAATTTCTTAACTATCAAGTTAGAGCTCTCATTTCAATTAATTACCATAAAGTTACATTTTCATTTAACTCTCTGACAAGAAAAATATCATGTAACCTAGACTTTATTGGGGCTAAGTAATCCTTCTGTAATCTGTATCCAAATTATTGATAAAAAAAAAAATCAATTACTTACAAACATACAATTATTATATCAATATTTAAAGCAAGAAATTAAAGATTATGACAGTGATCTAGATACTGTAGCACAGCACCTTTCCAGTTTTATGATGGATTCCAAACAATATTTGACAAATATCATAACATCAACAATCAACAATTATAGGAAGCAACAAATTGACAGAATAAATAAACACAAGTTGAAAAATTGCAGTGAGATGTCTTAAAAGATCGATCTACAATAGAGAAGAACTTTCATACTGAGTACTACATATTGTATACAGTACAGCTGGCCTAGTGTACGGTATAGTTGTAGGGTATTAATAATTAAATGGCTGACTTAAAAGCAAATTATAAATTGAAACCATAAATCAGAACACTCGAAATCTAAACAATTTTCCAATTAACATTCAATGAATTATTTAGAATTTTACAGTAATGTAATCTACAGTACTCTGCTAAAATGCCCAACTTACTGTACTACATTTCCAAAAATCCCTAAAAATGTTACCTCAAAATATTACTGTACATATTTTTCAAGAAAACAAAGTGAGAATACATGGTATGCATACTTTTACTTTATGGAACATTTTTTAAGTACAGTATTTATTTAAAGTTACACAATGAATAGGTAGGACCTACATAATATTCATAAATACAAATTTAGAGTAAATTGTTTTTGTTTCATTTTAAATTATTGTAATCAAGTAAAACAGAGATATTAAGTAGGAACTGCAAAAATATAACAATCAATGTATAAATAAATGTACTTAATGCCTTTTGAATTGGTTTATAATACTGTAACTAAATCCAAGGATTTTGCTGAAAATGCTTTATCCCATTTTTATGGTTATAAGAGCACATGTTTACGATCCAAATTTTTTACACTTTTATTAACTGTTGTGGTAAGTACTGTACAAGTTATGATACATTTTTTTATGTTGATTAAAATTCATTATTGTGATTTTATTATTATTGTTTATTTTATCATTATTATTGACCAAAATGATTTTATTATATTTGTTCAATATTATTATTTAAAAAAATTAATTGATATGATTTTATTATTATTGTTGAAAAATTTGTTTCGAAAGGATGTGATAGTGACAGGAAATGAAAGACAGGAAAAAGAGAATGTTAGATGCAGAATTCTTGAAGTCAGCTTTATCAGCGTTAATATGAGAATCTACCAATTTAAAACTACAGATCTTTAAAATTGACCAGATATTCTCTTTTAAAAACAGCAATAATGCAGCGATTAATGGCAGCGCTTACTATGAAAGGAGTATCCCTCATCAAAACTCGAAGGATCCACTGATTACTCGCAAATAGAATATAGGAGTATGGTGACACCGAAGAATTGACAAACGTGGCCTCACTTTTTCTTCGGGTCACCATACTCATCTATCCCTCACGAAAACTGCCCTTCTGTGTTACCCACCTCGGTATGCATCCCAACATACTAAATTTATAGTGAGAACACTGAGACGATTAAGATCAACAATAACATGACTCCACTAAGGAGGGCCTAGCTAGAAGAACAGAAGGCTACAGGTAGGCCAGATGCTTCTGTTCTGATGACACTGCACAGATGTTTTGATATGTAAACAACAAAAAAAATCGCCAACTGACAAAGTGACAATACTCAGAAAAAGCCTACGGACATTAAAAAATCAAGTTTAAAATAGCTTCATTATTGATTGCTAATTAATAATTATCCAAATTATTACACTGTGCAATGTGTCGTAGGCCTTTCTGGCTATCAAAGCATGATGACCACTGCAGTTGCCTGAGCAGAGAAGGGCATGCGAGCCACTATTTGTATCAAAGTTTACAATCTACTACTGCGATGGCTCAAAACGTAAACAATGCATCTAGGTAACACTGAACAGCAATAACATTTATCTGAATCTCACATATGTACAAGATAAGAACAACTGTAACCAAAGTGTTCAATTTCAGCAGATACTGTACGCTGTTATAATAATTATTACGACGGTTTGTTCCGACATACATTTGTCGTCAAACGGGATGGCTAATTCACCGACCGAGGAGTCACCTTCACTCACTTTGCCTAGCTAGCTTTGCGTCGTCGTCCAAAACTAAACATGACTTTTAAAAGACCTGTATTTAGCAATCTAGATATAAACACCATTTCAAAACTTCTCAGAAATATGTATAATTAAATAAAGATATGAACTTACCAGTTGACGACAGCAGAATTAATCCAAAAAGTATATAAAAAGCCATTGAAAGTTGTCCTGAAATTCCAGACACTGGTCTAGACGCCATGATCAACCTTCCGCTCCAGATCAGATACTGGATCAGCACTGACCTGTGACGTCAGAAGAATGGGTCACTCGGACAAATTTTGACAGGACAAACAAATAAAAGTGAACTTTTGTGAAAAGTTTAGAGAAAGTGATAAAACTTGGAGTTTTATTATTAATCAGCTTACTTTCGGTATATTATGTTACAGAAAGAAAATTCAGACTTGTAACGTACATGAGGAATCGATTACAAAATTAGACAAGTAAAGTTTTAAAAAAAACCCCTCTTTCATTACTCACATGTTATCTTTTTAAAATATTATTAACAATATCTAAATTTTAAGATATATAATATATCATTAAAATTTTAATATAACAATATTAAATAAAATTATAACAATAATGATAATAATGATAAAAACAATTCATCATTTTTAGAGCAAATTATAATAAAATATACATAAAATGGTAGATAAGGTTTTATTTAAATATTACACTTTTTCGTAAATGTTTGATTAGTTACTAATTGTAATAACATGATAAAATTTACACGTCGAAAACACAAAATCTGTATCAAATTGAAATTATTGTTTACAGATAATATGCAACCTTGTTAGCTTCGATATGGAACGGAAAACAAATAAATAATTCAAGCATATTTTTTTTGAGAATGATCGTTTTTATTTCGATCGTTTTAACTTAGGTTAGAAAGCAGTAGTGTAGACTCGTCTGAGTACAAATGTAAATAACAATTAGCGCATTCATTAAGGATTATTAGAAGCAGTACGTGACTTAGTTAAGACTACGTTGATTAGTTAAACAATAGAGTGCGCTATCCTATTTACACTTAAAGTCAAGGGTGCTTAGTCCTTAAGGACCCGCCCATTGAAAACCCAAACTGCTTGACAATATTGTTGAGTACTCTTATAGGGACTAACAGTTAGTAACAGCATGGATAATATATCGTCATATTTCTCTGTTAGCTTTCTAAGCAGTTACTTAGATTTTTTAATCATTAATTACAATAGCCTAATATCAATTATATTATTAAATAAAAATATATAAATATTGAATAACATTATAAAAAAATTATAATAAATACATAATACACTGTAGCTCTGATTGTATTGATGGGTTATGAGAAAAGCTAATATAACTATTTTATTATTATAATAGTGCTAATATTACTCAGAATACAAGGATTTCCTAAAAACCTCTGAAAATAAAAATAGACGGATACGCGTAAGTGTCCTCCTGGTTACGCACACGCGCTTCCGCCGGAAACAGAAACGCGTGCGCGTATGCATCCGCATTATTTAAACATCATGCGCGTAGGCACGTCCTTTCTCTACATAAAAATATAGGGCGACCAGGGCGATAGACAAATATTTTCTGCTTATTCCACAATCATGGAAAAAATAATTACCGGTATCTGCTTTGATATCGCTATTAATAAAATACTTTAAACAAATTTGAAACTTATTGTTACATTTAAAATAAATCATGTTAAAATGATTCAGAATTATGTTATAACAATTCGCAATTAAATTTTTTGAATTAAATTAAAATATCTGTTATTTTGGCAATCGCATTGTGACATTTAATTAATGGTTTACACATGCATGATTGCTGCCCTCTATAATTTCAGTTCGCATCAAACTTTTAGTAAAATGTTTTCCTTCGATTTATTTATTAGAAGAAACAGCCTATAGCCTATAAGGTGTTTTTAAAGGATTCGAATTCAAAGGCGTGTGTAAAAAGGAGGGGTTTATTCGATGGAAGGGTTTTAATTTGTTTTTGTAGAATGGATTATAGTAACTCTAGTGAAAAAAGAAAAACAAGAAAAACAAAACAAACCCCCCCCCCCCAAAAAAAAAAAAAAACAAACGCCCGCCACATCATTTCAATGGAAATTTATTATGTGTTGTGTAAATCCGACTTTGCTAATCAATTTTCAGTTTACAAAAATATTAGCAAATTTTAATCAGGGCAAAACCGACATTTATAAAAGTGTACAGGGATTGCTAAAAAAGAAAAAAAAAAGGAAAAAAATCGCATAAATGTTACTAACAATACTAAATTTAAAAAAAATCAGACATTTGATTGGAAAATCCACAAACTTGCTGTGGTGGTTCTTTCTATTTGCATTCCTGTTGCAAACATTCATGCAAAAATTGAAAGTGTGCTATATTTCATTCCTGGTTTTCACCTTTGTAGTAGGCTAATTTTTATTTTATTTTATTACACCGTTTAATAAACAAAATTATAATAAAAGATAGAAAGTAAAGATAAGATGACTAGGCCTTTTGAGAGCGCGTTAAACCAACAGGAAGTGCCTACGCGTATTATTTAGTCGCGGATGGATACGCGCACGCGTTTCCGGTGGACGCGCACCAGACGGTTGTGAATTTGAAGACACGCGTCAAGGTGAAGATAAGGCTGTTCCATCACAATTTGCTCTGTGTAAAATTTAAGATTATTCACGAAAGGTAAGATTTTTTTTAACAGAAATGAGTTTTAAGTTATTGTCACTATCATATTGCAACACATTACCACATTTAATTTGTCATGTTCCAAAGGATAATATGGTCGTATTTCTCGCCATCTTCAGATGTTTTCTCTCAAATCATCATGCCAAAATGGGTGGTTAAATTTTGGGGTATGCATTGCTATAAATTATTTTTAGGTAGGCCTAGGTAGGCTAAATAGTACATGAAAATGCACAAGGCCTAGGCTAGGCCCAACTTTTAAAAATTTACATTTACAAATGTGCTTTGTATAAGCCAGGCATCAGTGATGGCGCCAATGGAGGACGGGCCGGAGGCAGAGATGAGCAACCAGCCTTTCCGTATTTCAAAGTTTCATGGTGGCAATTCAAAAAGTTTTATTTATTTCTGTTGTATTTCAGAAATTGCCGAAGATGAGCTCCTCAAGTGAGAGTAACTACTCCGATGATGATCTTGTCATTGATGATGAAGACATAGAGCAAAAGTGTGTTCGACCGGATTTAAAATTCCATAGATTTGTGGTGAAGGTTACCGAGTCTGCCGGCTTCAATGCGTTCATTATGTTGACGATCCTGCTTAACGCACTATTCATGGCGATTGAGACAGATTCGGTGCTGAAAATAAAATTCCGTACCGTGTTTATTGTGACCGATGAAATATTTCTGGCGATTTACACTCTTGAATTCATTTTGAAGATATATGCAGAACCCATCCGATACTTCTACAGCAGCTACAATCTATTTGATTTGTTTGTTCTTGTAATTTCATATGTCCAGGTAAATATTTAAACAACGCTTTTTTGTAAGAGAATAAAACTTACAGAAAAGAATTTAACAGTTTGTGCTGACATATTTAATTCTGCAACTTTAATGGTTACAAAACTAGGCCTAAAGTATTAAATATGTATTATAACCAAAGGTCTGGCGCACACTATGACTGTAACTGAAGCGATTCCATAATGGTGCAATGGCGTACGATTTTCTGTTTTGATAATGATATCCTCTGACTGCTACCGGACAAGTGCATAATGCAAACAAATGTGTTGTCGTAACTGTAGGAACACCAGCTTTCTTGTATTTGCTTTAGAATGATAATTTGTATGAAGAATACCGTTGTGTAATCTATAACTATATGTGTTGATAATGTGATGTGTATTATTTGGTGCGTAGGTGATACTTGTTAATGTTGCCACCGGTAGTACTAATCTTAGTGCTCTGCGCGTTCTTCGTGCTCTGCGTACACTGCGGACCCTGAGAACAGTTTCATTCGTAAAAGGACTACAGGTGAGTATGTCACAAAATTCCCATATTTTAGAAATTCATTGATGGTGTCATGTTTTAAGTGTTTTACTAATTATTAATTTTCTGATGTTATTATTATTATTAGATATAATCTGTATTGTATAATTACTATTATTATAAAGTTTTTATATTGTTATAATCAAGTGTTTCTTACTACACCAATGCTATAATAATTTATTGTATGACTGTATTTTATAACTATTATCATCATAATCATAATCATCATAATCATTTTTAATCTAATCACCTTTAAACTTAAATCATCCATTCTTATTGCTAACTATAGTGTCATGCATTTAACACTTCTATCATTATGTTCAGACCAGGTTTAAGCTTGAAGTAGCATTCTTATTGTCATAAGCCCTGGGTATATGGTCTTATTATTTAGCTGGATAATTATTTAAAGAGCTCTGGTTAATTCTATGCTGTTTGCCCTCCTTACAGGTATTGGTGACGGCTTTACTGGACACAATTCGTAACTCTGTGCTGAATGTCGTGCTCCTACTCTTTCTCCTGATGTTTCTCTTTAGCATCATGGGTTACTACTTCTTTGGATACAAGGAGACGAACAGCGATAAAGAGAACTGGGGCGATCTAGGATCGGCGATGTTAACACTGTTTAGTTACGTCACAGTAAGTATCCACATATGTGGCAAAGACAAGCCAAACCAGTCACTCGTCGCAAATCGTGTTTCAGAGAAAATGGCCAAAACATGCTAAAATGTCAATTTTTTAAAAAATCAATGTTTTGCACTAAACTAACCTTTACATATTTACACACCATTCTATGCTGTTATTTTCCCCATTTTCAATGTTAAAACAACACTTTTAAGGATTTAAAGATAGTTTCTGCACGAGAAATGCCTGAAATCCTAAACTTTAAAGGCTGATTTCTCATATATTGTTCTTTAAACAGCTGTGTGGTTAAACGCTTTTAACTTCATAAGGAAATGTCCAATTTGAATGATCTTTTTACCATTTCATAGCTATTATTTTACTCTCTAACACTGTATTAATAACACAAAATCGATTTTTGCGACGAGTGACTGGTTTGGCTTGTCTTTGCCACATATAGAGTTGCTAAAACATTGTTCCAGTGACCCTAAAGCCGGACACACACTACTTTGTACGACTGTTGGCCAACAAATCCATCTCTGCTCTCTGAGCACTAGTAGACTATGTGAGACTGTCTGCTGATTTTCGATGACAGACAGTCTTACTGAGGACTGAATTTACAGTCAAACTTGCCTATGTGGACTTTGCCTTACCTAAATAATTTCTAAGTCGATCTTATTTTACATGCCAAATTATTGTGTTTTCCAGTAATTAATGATCTGTAAGTCAAATTTAATCTAAGTCAAACATTTTTTCAATGCCATTTTGGACAAGTACAAATTTATTTCTAAGTTCAGTCAGGGAAGAATACTAAAGTGTTTGGGAAACTTTTACCAGTAGGCAAAAAAAATTATTATATACCTGTAATACTGTATTGGGTGGAGGGGTTTAAGGGGGAAGGGGTTCAACCATTATTTTATACATTTTCACAAGAGTATGAAACACTTTGTGACACCCTTTCTTCCCCTGAAAAAGAGTACACAATAAAATAATAAATTTTTGTCATTTTGGGTCATCATTTCATTTTTTTTTCATAAAAAATACTTATGCCTACACAGTGTCAACCACCTCGCTCCTAAAGCGTATGTTTTGTACTCTTGCTAAAATGATGAAAAATGCGGATGGTCCATTAAAGGTGTTATTTTGTATACCACTGTAGGTCGACGGATGGACTGATCTCCAAGGGCGACTCGACGCTCTTGACATGGCTGGCAGTAGGTTCTATACTATTCTCTTCATCTTTCTTGGACATTTTGTTTTCACCAATGTTTTCATTGCATTGATCATTATGAATATTCATGAGGCCACTGAAACATATCGAGAAGAACAAATTCAAGAAAGAGAACAGGTAATTATCAGCGATTGAAATAACATGATATTGACATGAAAGACCTGATGGAAAACCATAGAGCTATAGAATTTTAATTAGTAATTATAATAATCCTATGGGTGTAATATTTCCATAGTATTTTTCTTTCTGTACATAAATAACTTTTCCTTAGCAAATATGAAAGTTCTGTTGGCATTTAAAACCCTGTGATTTGGCCATATATGGGCTTGATTATTTCATATATCCATACATGGGCAAAAGAGTCATATGTGTGTAAAATAAATAATCTTGTAGTATTTTTTGTCTTTCCGTACATCCAAAATAAAAAAAGCCAAAACGTTTGTAGCAAATTTGCAAGTTTTATAGACCTTTAGGCTATTTCTACAAAACTTATGAAATACATTTATGGGACAAATTTGTGTGATGTGCCCATATATGGGCATAATTAATGATGTCACATTATACACAATTATGGGCATATCACATTTTTTGTCACATAACATTTGAGTGTGGACAGAAGAACCTTGCAAATATCTTTGATTTGCCTTTTATATAGGCATAATGATTTTCATAGATCTATACATGGGCAATTTTCGCCGGTATCGCATAACGTATGAATTTATAATTGACAATCTACCATTAGGGTATCTGCAGTATTATAATGTGTAAGGATATGTTCACACACGGCAGCTAACGGTTAGCAGGATCCAGATCACAAACGTACGTGCTCACTCGTGCGTTCATACAAGAAAATCCCTGATAAATTAAAATACCAAGATGATGATGATTGGATCACTGGCCATGGAAATAGGAAACTGGAAATTACAAATGCGTACATGCGATTCGTTAATGATAGAAACACGCTCACCTTCATAACTGATAGCGCTTGCTAACCGTTAGCATCTCTGGATCCTGGTAACAGTTAGTGCTAACCGATCGGGTATTCACACACGGGTGCTAACGGTTAGTGCACGGTTAGCTCTCAATCCAGAAACTAGGGCTCTCGTGTGAACCTGTCTTAACAAACCTTGGAAATGAATTTATTATTATATTTTTTTTTCATCAGATTATTCAAAAAAAGAAGGAATATATGATACAGAGACAACACAATGAAGTGCGTTTAATGCTGGAAAAGCAGGTGGGTAAGCCCCACCCCTTTGATATTGTTAAGGTCCCCACAAGATGACAGTGTCAAAACATATGTGAACATGTGTGTTTGTGAGATGCGCGCATATCCCTAGCGCTGGTTCTGATTAGTGAGTTGTAAAGTTTGATTGATACTCTGGAAAGGTTTATTTACAGGGGTCGCAAGTCTCCCGTGCGTTTTCAGAGTCTCTCAGAAATCGGGAAGTCCTCCAGCACTCCCGCAGGCAAGAAAAATCTCGCAGAAAATAAGCAATCTCCCGCAAATTCACGATATTCCTTGGGAAGTCCTCCGGCACTACCGCAGGCAAGAAAATTCTCGCAGAAAATAAGCAATCTCCCACAAATTCATAATATTCCTCGGGAAGTCCTCCGGCACTACAGCAGGAGCGGTTGGCGCACCGGTTGTGGCTTGGACTCCTAACCTTGCGGTCGGGGGTTCGAAACTCTGCCTGTGCACATCGCTTGTGTCCTTGGGCAAGGCACTTTATCTACGGTTGCCTCTCTCCACCCAGGAGTACAAGTGGGTACCTGGTAGGTTCCAACACAACCTGCGCTGATTACTACAGTAGCTGCAATTTATGGAATGATAATATAATTTCATTTATTAATTTAATTTGGTGTTTCAATGTGTTCCATATGTGTTTGATCCAATGGCCGGGGTAGTAATGTGAAGCGCTTAGAGGCCTTGTAAAGGCATGAAGCGCTATATAAGAAGGACATTATTATAGGCAAGAAAAATCTCGCGGAAAATAAGCAATCTCCCACAAGTTCACGATATTTGCATGTTTTTACTACTGTATTATCAATTGTCTTCCGGACATCAGTGTCGATGGGTATCACAATGCGCGGCAAAATACAATAATTAGATGTGTTGAGAAAGTTCCTGAAAGGGGCTTCTTCCTACTTAGGACTCCAGAATTTATGAATTATACATCAAACCATTACACGTCTGAACCCAATAATTGGATTGCAGTACGGGGAGCATGCATGAGGAAACTTCACCATTTATCAAATTTTCAATTTTTGAACCAGGTTTTGCCGATCTCTTCTTATCTCTATTAATTACTGCTTCAGGGAATTTTGTAACACAAGATTAACACATTAGTTGTGAATAGCTCATAAGAAGCACAATTAAATCAAAAACCATGTTGTAACTTCTAACATAATCATTGATTTTTAAAATTCAAAAGCATATCAATTATGATTTTTATCTGAAATTATAGCTAAGGTAATAAAAATGCCAAATATTTTTGAACAACAGGTTTTTAAAATTTTCCAGCATGGTTTTTAACTATAATGGTAATTTATTGAGAAAAACAGCAATGCCTGCTGTGATGAAAACTCTTTAAGTAGAGGTATTCTTCTTTGATGTTTAATTGAATTATTGAGATAACATTCTGGCAAAACCTGGTTCACCAACCCGCCTAAATGCCCTTTTAAAGGGTTTGCTAGTAAATGGGATAGTAACAGCATGGCAGATAGCTAAAGCTTGGTTTTCATACAATAGCTACACACTATTGATAAAAGCTTTCATTGATGCTGATTGGTCGGTTGGATCGGGAGCCTTCCCAATTGTGTCGGGGACTGCTACGCACTGTACAACGATTGCACTGAAACACTGTAGCGACAGTGTACCAATTTTAAAGACACCGGGCGAATCAGAGGAAAACTGATAATGACCGATAACAGCAATTACAACAATAACTACACAAATGATGACAACAATGGCAGCAACAAATTATGACAATATAAACAATAACAGCATTATTTACAATCAACAAAATTTAATGACAATAACGACAACAATGAAGGTCAGCGCAACAATGACAATACTGGTAAATATAACAATTATAATATGAGTAAACGGAGGTAAAAAAATCTAAATTAAAATTTAGTTTAGTTATTAACACTTTACATATTTTAAACTCCTTGTAGAATCAAGGACAGTTTCAAAACTTCAACGAAATGGTACTTGAATTCAAGAAGACTTTAAGACATGATGACTTTATGGTTTCTGTCGATTTAGCAACGAACCTCACGTGGTTGGAGACTTATATTACTACACTTGACCACGAGGACAACACAATGTATTGGTGCGTATCACTTGATACTCGCTGAGAGGATATAATTTTTCACTCAAGTTGAATTATTCATAAGCTGCGACAGTGCCATGTGCCCGTCGTTTGAAATTTTAGATTTGTGCCTGTACCAGCATTCTTCATATTCCAAAATAAAAACCAGTTCTCCAAATGATGTGAAGGAAGCTACACTAAGGAGTCAATCAGAAGGGAACCAATCAACTCGCCCCCCTAGCAAACTCCCCATTTCCAATCTCGCCCCCCCCCCCATAAACTCGTCCCTTAACAAACTCGGTGCTTAAACGTGAGATTGTAAGGGGCGAGTTTGCTGGGGGGGGGGGGGAAGTTGACTGGAATCCCACTAGAATGATACTATGGACCTTTTTTGGAGAACTTAGCAGAACATGACCAGTTTGAATATTCGCATGTCCCATAAACATGCAATACTGTTGTGTGGGACTATGGTAACTGTATTTAAGCAACGGGCTTGATACGGTAAACAACCCATTAATTTGTTGTTTAATTGTCTTTCAGTTTACAACAACTGCATTTTGAGATGGCCAACATTCTGGCAATTGTCCAAGAACAGAAACTGAAGGAACGTTATGGAATGTAGTCATGATTACATGTACTGTACATAAAAAAAATAGACATTTTTTTTTTATAACAGTAAATTCTGTGTGAAATGGTGATAGCTTACCTTAACATTTACATGTATTTGTATCGGATATGACCCCTATACTTGGATACCAATAGATAAAAACACAAGTAAAAATGTATTTTGCAGAAAGTTTGTGCACCATACATTGTCACCTATTTGTCAAAATTATTAAAGAATAAAAATATTTCACTTTTTATTTTACATTTTCTCTCTAAAATTACAGCCTCACTTTAACAACCATTTTAAACAAGCATTAGTAGGGAATTTTCGAATGTATGACACGGTAAGAAGTAGAACGTAATGACTTCACTAAAAAGGTCATCTGCGCATGCAAGAATGTTAAGTTCTCGTTGCTTGGATTCTTGGATGCAATTTGATCAAATCTATGTAGTGTAGTGTGTACGGTCATGCGCAAGTGAATCTGTTCTAGGATCGGGGCACTGTGCGAGTTGAAAGCTTCCATTATACTGTAGTCTCTCCTTAGCGTTGTTTTTGTCATGGATGTAAACTATCAAAAAAAGAATCTTGGAGGCAAATTCTGTGACAAATTATATCATTGTAGTGGGGTAAAAAAGCCACATGTTTATTGCATTCTAAAAAACATCACTATTAAGCAGAATCTAATGATAACATTCATTTTTTTTAAATACATGGTAAACTTAAAACACAATTAGCAAAATTATTGCACATGATACATTCTTACTACTACTGTAATATGTGACCCAAGCTCACAAAGGGCTGCAAACTCGCACCACACTGTATTGAGAAACAAGCCTCCATAGCCAGAATAGGGCGTAGAACGTGAATTTTGTATGAATTGGGTTTTTGTGTAATAAAAAAAGTATAACTTTTAATCTTACTATTCCTAAAGTTTGAGTTTAAAATTATAACTGTAAGAGGTAAAATTTAGCCATTTTCGGATTGGAGCTCGTGAAAAATGAATAGAAACCTGCCGAAAATAAAAGCATTTTTCTCAAAACTTGATTTAAGAAAGTTGATGAGATGACACTTATTAAAACGGTCATAACTTTGCTTCCAGACACCCGATAAAGTTTATTTAACTGTCATTTTAAAGTAAATGATATGTTATATGCCATTATAACAAAAACTCATTTTGGCCTGAGGACGAGTTTACAGCCCTTTTGTGAGCTTGGGTCACATTATGCTGGACCGGAAAAACAAACTTGTTTGAATCACCAATATCAATAATATGGTTAAATATAAACATTAAAATCGCATTTTAAAATTCTGTTTTAAAAATTAGTTTATGGTCACTCCATTATTTTAAAACATTTTTATGGCTTCAAGCTAATATATCAAGGTGATTAAGGTTTCAATATGAAACTCAGTGAGTAAATAATGCATAAAAAGTACATTTTTCACCCTGTAAACTGTTTGTGTTAACATTTATTATAATTGGAATGTATACTGTATAAAAATTTCTTCCTTCACAAAGTCATTAATTATGATTTCTAATAATATTAGATTTTATTAGAGTTGTTACATTGTTATGTGTGTATTTTTGCAACAGATACTACAAATACTGTTTCTGTTACAATTTGTTCTGAGTTGAACTAAATTTCAAGGTGTAATCTACATTCATAATCATACCTCTCCAGATTATCAATTTTTTTTTGACAAAAACATGTGACATGCCTGAATGTGGTCATGATGACATCACATCATGACCATATATAGGCACATCATGACTATATATGGGCATACAGCAGTTTTACGTCAAAGATTTATGCATAATTTGATCGTTATTATTCAATGTATCCGTCGCCTACTTGCTTCGCGGTGCAATAAACAAGTAGCCATTTTCAATTTGAATGTAGCCACCAACGGCCAATGATTTGTAGTGACATGACTTTTTTGGTATCTTGCATTCTGGAAACCTACAATTCTTAAAAAAATCTCCAGATTTTCATAACCCAAGGGTTGGCAGGTCTGTGACTGAATAAGAAAACAGCTGGCAGTGTAAGGGTTAATTAATGGAAAACACAAAAATATGGGATGTAAATCGACTTAAAAATTATTCGACTTAGGCACAGTCGACTTAGGCAAGTTTAACTGTATAAGAACCAGTAAAATTTTGCTCAGGCTCAGTGTTCTTATATTTTGGCTGATTTCAGGCTCAAAATGTCCTTATTTTGTTCTTATTTTACACACTTTTCAAGCACAGAAAATTATTATTGAACAGCAGTATCTGAACTGGAATGTAGGTAAAAGTGGCCCCAGGAAAAACCACCCCAGAAAAAAAGACCCTGGTAAAAATGGCCCCAAATGGCAGGTAGGTACACCTACTGTACTGTATTATAGAGGGTATTACATGTCCCACCTACAGTCTGCACATAAGGTTTTTGGGGTTTTCTATTTAAAAAAAAATAAAAACCTCATTTGACATGTTACCCCAGCCTCAATTTGTTTTTTATTTGTTCTTAATTTTGAAGCAATTTCAGCCAGTGTTCTATATTAAAAAAACAAAAAAACAAAAAAAAACTGTATTTGGGTATACAGTAATTAAGTGTTGAGGAGAAGTAGTTTTGGGTGCATAAATTTTCATTGTGTGGACAGAGTTTTATGGTCAGCTTTTATATGACAAACACAAACTAAAGTACTACAGTACGGAAGCTTAAAAGTGCCATTCCAGATGTCTAGATAATTATCTCGTCGTGTCTACATCCTGTAGAAAAGAATATCAAATGACGAGCTCCTGGATATCGTCATGTCTACATCTTCAGAAGAGATGATCACATGAAGAGATGCTAAATCTTGTAACATCTAAATCTTTTAGAAGAGATGATCAGATGACAAGATCATGGATCTTCTATCTCCTCATGTGTACATCCTTTAAAAGAGATGATCAGATGACAAGATCCTGTATCTTGTCATCTGAACATCTGGGTGGCACTTTTAAGCTTCCATACCACAGAAAAAGTAGTTTCCTACTCACTTGATATTTTTAAAATATTAAATATTAAAAATAATTACCCCTTTAGCCAGGTGTGCACCAACCTTAAAGCTGTGTCCACAATATCAAATTTGTCACATAAAATGTTATTGTGTGAACACAGCTTTATGGTCAGCATTTATATAACAAATACAAAACTAAACTAACACAGAAAAAGTAGTTTCCTACTCACTTGATAATTCTTAAAATAATAAATATTTAAAAAAAATCACCCTTAAGCAGGGCACTCATTGGACGATGCAATTATATGAAAAAACGCAACACCACAACGCGCACGCAACTTATCGTTTTTTTAATGACATTCCGTTCAGACTGCCAACGACAATCAGTAGACGGTGTCACATCGTCTATCGCTCACAGGGAGAGGAGTTGGATTCGTTTTACGATCGTCGTATGACGCATTTGAGTGTCGGGCTTTAGTGAATAAGAGTTCGTAGATTAAACAGAGTTGATCTCAAGTTTTCATTGCTAATGTACTGGCTAATGGGTAGGACTGTTACCTGAAACAAGAAAAAATAGATATAAAACAATGCACAGATGTATCTTAAAATCTTTTAACGTGTTACTCTGACAAGGATGGCTTGATTCTCTCGCATACTAATATAATACTCAATGCACTACACATGCTAGGTATAAGTCAGCAAGTGTCACATGCTACATAGAGCCATGGGAATGGGATTAGCCCATGTTCTGCATATTATTTATGTAAGGAAAACAGATATGGCAGAGACCTGCCTAACAACAGGCATCTCTAAATGTCTGGGGGGGGGGGCCACCCCCAGGCTCTTTGCTGGTGCCGCCAACTGAAGTCTATCACATTTTAGAATGTGCTTATTTTTGTGTTGAATAAATTGGGTATAACATCAGTATTTCCTGATGTGTGTAAAATTGTATTGTTGCAAAAGATGGAATATATTTAGAAGCAGTCAAAGATTGTCATACATTATGTGGAGAAATTTGCATGACAATGGTAGGATCTAGAAAATTGACAGAATGATCCACACATACAAAGATTTTGGGCTAAATCTATGTTGTGCATAGAACACAGTATGGACTCAGACTATAAAATCGTCCTAGTGTTACATTGCTGATTGAAAGCTCTTCAACACGTCGACTGCCAAACAGGTTCCTTCACGTGTGCCAAAACAAGTTTGCATGTACAAACATACTTTTTTGAAATTTTATCTCGTCATATATCATCAAAATGGTGGGTCTAAAAAATTGGCGGGAAAATATTATTGGACGAGTAAACTCGTCGATGGCACTGTGACAGCACTTTTTACTGCCTATGCCAAGTGTGAGTTACCTCGTCCACTTTTTGCATGGGTTGGTATATGTTCAAAAGGCGCCCCCACTTGTGCCGATCGAGTGTACTACCGGCAACATAACACAACAAACATACATATACATCATTTGTACGTTATCGTCTAGGTGTATATTCCTCAAACTATCTGTGTCTGTGGTTACACAATGTATAACAAAGAAGTAATAAACGCTAGAATGTTACTGATTTTGATGAATTTACTCGTCCCTGGGCCCTCAGCAACACCGTTGGGACGAGTATGCTTGTCGCTGGCAGCCAACATGTTGAATTACTACTGAAAGCAAGCACACGATTTTACTTACACAAAATAAGTAGCTTCTCCTCCTGGAATATGTTTTCCATGTAAGCCTAGTGTGACCAACCTTGCTCCCAGGAGTGATTTCGAGCTCTATTCTTGGCTTTAGCAGCTCCATGTCTGAATTGTATACGACCTTTGATGGTGGATTGTATTGAAGAATCTCAATCTGGTGTCTGACCTCTCCAACAAAAGGGGTTTCAACCATTTGATGGAACAGCTTTCCTTCTCCCATCAAAGAACCATCAAGTTCTTCAGTCTTGCTAATCCCTCCAATCCACTATCATAGATAGAATATCACATTAAAACATTCAATATTATACAAATAATGAATGTTTATGAGCGCAATGGGAAGAATATTTTCATGATTAGAAAGACTGTTCCATTCGACGAGGCAGAGCCGAGTCGAATGGAACAGTCAATCTTTCAACGAATGAAAATATTCTTTCCATTGCGCGAATATAAAAAACATTCATTATTTGTTTTATAACACACCTAAAATAGATTCTTGTCAAAAAATCTACTTTTTACTGAATGGAGATTCTAGTCATTTGATGTTTTTTTCTAGTCATCTGATTGTATAAGGTTGATTGCCATATCGTATCCTAGGCACCATGCAATGGGGAAAAATGGGTGGAAAGAAAATTCATGGATGGAAATGGAAACGCATGGTGTAACTAAATTTCAATGATGAGTGACGAAATCGGGTAAATAACCTAAGTCGCATGATAGGAAATCCACCATTCAAATGACAGGGATCTATTTAGGTGTGTTACAATTTTTCTTATCAATTTATATTTAGTTTTATTTTATTTGTAAACATAGCTTGGCTCAATTAAAATAATATACTGTATAAAATGCAATTTAGGTCAATAAAAAAAATTCTTGTGTTGGACATGTTTTGGAAAAATCCAAAAAACGGAAAAGTTTTTTTTTATTTTATTTTTGTTTTTACCAAAAATGTTGTAAGCCTATTTTGTAAGTTATGAATTGAAAAGAAATTACTTAAAAATACTTGTTTTACACACTAATGCCTTTAAAAGTCATAAAATAAACAGTACAGGTACTTTAATCTTTTTTGGTTTATTTCAACATTTAAAAAACGGACCTTGTTATGGTTATGAAAATCAGCTACATAGTAGAAAACTTGCTTAGGTGTCTTGGCTAAAACGACCGATTTACTGACGATTAGAGGATCGTAGCTGACCTCCAGCTGGCTTAGCACTGCACTTATCGCCACAAGAACAACACAAATTATTGTCACAATCTCCATTGCCTGAAAAATATATTTACATAATAAATCAACAATCAATAATAATAATGTCAATAATGATGTAGCACAACTGGGCCAGACTGTAATGTAAGGTCTGTGCAGGGAATATATCCTCCGCGTAAAAATTAAGCCTAGCAATCCTGGGACAACACGTGTGCGTGTGTTTGTGAGACGCGCACGTATTCCTTGTTCTGATTGGTCAGTTGTTACGTTTGATTGACACTCCGGAAAGGTCTATTGCACGGATGATACCGTGAAAAAATGCTCAAATTTGTGTGGAAAATCGCTAGGAAAATAGGTGCACATATTCGTAATTACTTACTGCATTTATAATACATTGTTTGTATACTAAGATTAGGTCAACAAGGCCAAATTTTGGGCAAAATCTGCATAGAAATCAGCCCTTATTTTCTGAAATGCGTGGACGGATTTCTCAGCCAAATTTTTGCGCAGAGGACATATACCGTATTCCCTGCGCAGGCCCTTCTATACAGTCTGGCATTTGTCTTACTGGACGAATCTGTTGACTACTTAATACCAACCGGTGGCGTGCGCTGCCTGCCAGCGTGTCAGCCAGGAGGCCAAATGGTTTGGTTGGTGTGTAACAACAGTCAATTGATGTCATAAGTGTAACTTTGAAGAAATGGGTCTAGGCCTATTGCATTAGTTAGGCCTACCACCAGTAGAATTGCTACTGTACGACACCTCACTTCTACTACAGACTGCATGCTGGGAAGGGCAATGGCAATATGCCAGGCCTAAATAATAACCCCTGGCTAAGGACGACTAAATAGACCACGCAAAGCTGCCAATCCAGGGCCCAAGCAAGGCAAGGAAGGGAGAAGGCTGAAGTGGTGGTTAGCTTGAGCCTGGTTGGTAGATACAAAACCGATAGTGGGCACTATAGATCGGCAATACAAACATCGCGATAGAAAATAGTGCCCCGAAGGAGATAGGATATCCATGTATTAATTGGGTATTTCGCGGAAGTATACAACAATTTGACCGAATTACTTCCAGATAACACTCCAGAAATGATTTCTGGACCAAGTTATTGGCTTTTTAAGCGCACGAATCGATTTAGTAGAAGTTTTTTTAGTACAACCAATGTTTCGTCGATTTTCAATAATAAAAGGAAACCGCTAGTTTTTGGTTAACATTTTTGTTTTCTTCAGTTTTTAAACTATGAAGCTAAGTTAGTTTTAAATAATATTTGTGAGCATATTAATTGAAATAGATGCATAAAATTCTATTGTCTTATCATGTACCGCAGCTCGGCTCGTACAAAGAGAAGGCGCCTCGTTAATTTGCGGCGGCTAAACGTGGGGTAAACGATGTTTTCCCCACTGGCCACCGTGTTGTCTGAGGCCTGCAATTAGGCCTAGTCTAGCCTAGAGTTATGCGATTCAATATAATTTATTATACATAGAATCTATAATTTGATAAAAATTATTAAATCTAATATAAATATATATATACTAAAATACTAAATTATAGTCGTTAGTAATTGTCAAGTATTATTTTAACATGGCCTAAAATGCTACATAATTATACTGTAAGGGACACACTTCTTGTATAACAAAAACAATAGGAATTAACTCCAGCAAAAAACATATTTAAAATAGCAATATCTCCGCCGCTAATATTGGTCCGATTTACATAATTTTTGTTTTAAAATGCTTCATTCAGTTATGTCTTTCTATTAAAAATAAATAAAAAAATATTTGGGACATTTCAATTTTTTGTTTCTAGCTAGCCTGGCCCCTGGCCTATAAATAAGGCCACCCCTACTACTACTAGCGTACTACACTAGGGCCTATGCCGTAGCTTATGGCCTAGCCTACTACTACTAGGCCGCCTAGCAATGCCTAGCGTTCTCATATACAAAGACTAGACTAAACCTAGGCCTAGCACTAACTGTACTTAATACCAATAACACATACTAATAAAAAGAGTGAATAAATATTATTTTTTCTCACCAATTATTTTAGATATTTAAAAAATAAATTGTACGGAAAAAGATCGAAGCGTCCCCAGTGATGCGAGATCGATCTCGGGATTGAGTAAAATATGATCGAAACAGACAGAACACAAACCTGTCAAATAATTAATACATTTAATAGGTATACCAATACACTTATAAAATTTAAAATATGTACAAATCGATAAAAACATAAATTTATGAAATTTTTTATGTAATAAATATTTGAAAAACAAACATAAATTGTTTAAAAATATACGTGAAAAGTGAAGTGTTCTTTGATTATTTACTTAGTCATTTTTAGATTTACCAATTTCTTACATTTTCATGAACACTCGAAAATATATTATATTATTCATTGAATATAAGCAATCAACATATTCAGTGACATTTTTAAAACTTTTATAACATTATTATATTATTTTAAAATGCAATAATTACCGAGGACCTATGCTTAAGCATATTGAATTATTTTGCTTTTACTAATACTACTACACCGGTCAGAGGTCACATCTTTTTAAAATGGTAGCCTCCATTGATTCAACCTGACTTTCATCAATTAATCAACCTATCTTGGCTATTGACAGCTTCTTGATTCATTAGTAGAATTAAGCTTAGGCCTTAGTAAAAGATATAAGGAAGATTGATTTTCCTTTCACAATGGTTAGTATTTACTTCACAATAAGTACGATTTTTTGAGTCGTAATTGGAGACAGACACTTTGCTAGATAGGGCAGAGAAAAGAAAGATCCTAGGCCTAGCTAGGGCCTATCCTTCTAGGCTAGGTAGGCTGTAGGCCTAGTAGGAGGACTAGAGTCTAGCCTCCACCAGAGAGGGCCTATCTAGCTAAGGCCTAGGCTTGCTAGTATTCCTCTAGTGTCAGAGCTAGGCCTAGCGTAGCCGACATTATGGCTGTTTTTTACATATATTGTATTTTTAACATATGCAATTCAGTCATGACCATGTGCTGAAATGTATGCATTTATTTTATTTTTTACTGGAAGAATATAAAATACAGTATTGTATGTATGGTAGCCGATCATTTCGGTCGCGCTTCGTTTCGGTCGCGCTTCGTTTCGGTCGCGCTTCGCTTCGGTCGCGCTTTGTTTCGAACAAATATATGGAGCGCCGAAGGAGTTGCGAATAAGAAAAATTTAATATGCCTAGGCCCTATATATTTTAGTTCGTGAATCGGTTTATCATAGGCCTAAGTATTATTGTTTTGCTATCTTTCCACTAACAAAATATCTTTCTGCTATATTCTCTTTTTTCCATTTACGGTGATATATTCATGATTGCAACATGATCTTGTAATTGAAACAATGGAATTTAGTATGTGCTTCATGCTATTCTTTTTGTTGCATTTTCATATACTATACTTTAATAAATGGTCAGTAAAATGTATCTTTGATTTTAATTGAATTGAATGTTGTCACCATCTGAAATCTATTTCATAATTTAGTTAAAACAATAATCATTCAATATTTAAACTGATCATTTTATACAATAAATATATTTATTTTTCTTGCAGCTTCCAGAATTTGGATAAAACATATCAAGAGAATTGAAGGAAACACGAAGAAATAAACGAAAAATACTTATCATTCACTTGAAATCTTTAATACCCCTGCGCAGTTCATAAATATGAATATATA